CATGACTTAAAAAAAAATTAATTAACTTAAACTTAAAACGCATAGGTAACTAACATAACGTTTTCATTTAAAATATCGCTTGACAAAAAAAATTATATAGATTTCGTTTTGAATATTAATGACGCGTTAAAAGCTAAATTTCCAAAACTTTGTAATTCTAAATAACTGAAAACAATAGTTTTTTTCAAACTCGAACACCACTGAAACAAAGAAATAACTTAATAAAACAATACCATAGAACATTCGAAAAACATTTAGTTTTTCATCAATAGTAAGATACAAAAATATTGTTTGCAAGTTTTTGGATCGGCTAAAAAATCATAAACGTATTTTGTTAGAATGAAAATAATATGTCTGGTCATGTAGGCAGTTGTTAAAAGAAAGTATATGTAATATTAAAGATGATAAAGAATAAAACTGCATTTGCATTTAGCAACGATATCCGAAATCTAAAAAGAATTAAAACGGTATTTCAACAACGTACCTTCCAGAAATATCTTATAAATTATAACTTAAAAAATTATTCCATAGTAAACTAAGAACAATTTATACACAGTGAAATTCCCATACAACAAAATCACATGATTAACATAAATAATGCACGTAATGTATTTTATTCAATTGGAAACACGTCTTGTTTGTAGCCTGGGCTAGATTTTAATTAATTTATTTTTTTTTGTTTTTTTGTTGAATTTTCTATACGTATTCGCGTGGTTGGAAGTTTATTTAATAAGAACAGATTTAATCGATAACGAACGAATTAACATACGAGATTTGCACACACTTAAAATATACATTATTTTTATTTTTTGAACAAGCATTTAGAATATGTTATAATATTAATAATATTAAAATTAGTGGTGGGCATATTCGGATTTCAAAAATCCGAATTATTTGAATTTGTCAAATCCGGATTATTTGGATTTGTCAAATCCGGATTTAGTAAATTCGGATTTCACAGATTATCCAGAGTATCCGGATTATTTATTTAAATTTTACTGTTCAATGACTCCTTGTTATATATACCTACTAATAATATTTTAATTCTATAACATAATTTTCGGACATAAGTATAAAAGGTTTCGAACGCATTTTAAGCGCCATTGATGTTTTGCGTTTAGCTGTAATAAAAACAATTACTTAAGTATGTACTTTGTATAATAACCAATAACAAATAATAAATAATCATTGAAATTGAGAAATATACTGTAAGTAATACAACTTAAGTATTAATTTAATGTTACATTTTCATTATAATAAAATAATTTATTTTACCATACATTAAAAATGTTTGTAGTCTGAAGTCACATAAAAAGCAAATCCATAAATCCGGATAATCTGTATAATTCGGGAAATCCGGATAAGAATATGATTAAAATCCGGATTTGAATATATGGATATTCGGATAATTCAGATATTCGGATTTCATGCCCATCACTGATTAATATAATATACATGATATTCCAACACGCATCGAAAATGTTCTCTTCGTGTGATGTAAAATGCATAACGATATAACCTATCTATTTTGCATATAATAGTACATGTATCATAATTCATAAACTATAAAGGAAATAATAACTCTGTCCTACACGTTCATACTATAATGTTACCTATGCAATCATATATAGGTATGAGATAATTATGTTTTGAGCGCTCTTCTGATGTACCTACACAGCTAAGGTGTAACAGAAAGATCTTACAAACATTTTTAAATTGATGTTAGGTATGATGAAAATTGTGAAAATTATACGCATGATAACGGATAAATTATATGGACACATGTCAGGAAATTCACATTTGAAAAAAATTATTAAGTTTCAAATTAATTTACTTGTTACAAAAAATATTGGAGTTTTAAAATATCCTAAAAATTACCATACTTGAATCAGATAAATGTTTTTATCATAGAAATAGTTCTTATATAGCCAGATTTAAAAACGGACTGTTTTAAAAATTTTCAAAAACAATTGAATTAAATTTTAAAATGTTCAGTTTCAAGAAATGAAAATCGAGTAAGTGGTTAACGTTGTACTGTACATTATAGGTGTCTAGAGAAGCGGTTCTCGAAATTTTATGACCGTGGCACCCGTAGGAAAAACTTTCGTGTATCGTACCTATGGTGGAAAACTAATGTCTGTAAAACAAATATTTTAAAACTAGTAACTATTATTTGGGTGAACTTATTTTTTCAAGTACCTATACATAAAATAATTTTCTCAATATTCACATACATCTGGAGGGTTGCCTTTAGATTGCCTCTCGGAACTCGGAGAACTCATTCGCTTTACATTCAGTCATTATATATTTAACTGTAAGGATTACTCCGTATGATGAGGTGTGTATCGTTGGTGGTTGATTGTTCATTAGGTGTTCTTGTGTAAGAGTTCAAGTTTTAATTCGATAAAAAAATTTAATAGTTTGCTCGGTTCGGATTCGTTTGATTAATTATGAGTTTGGTTCGATTCGGGTCCGAAAAACTTTTATAATATTCGGTTCGACAACAATAGAATTAGATTTGGCTCATTACTACAACATACATTATTATAAAATTCGTGTGGTCTCCTCTTAAACAGGAAAAATGTCGATGAGATCTTTTGTGTGTACGTGTAAACGATCCACAACCGAATCCATCAAATTAATGCCTTTAAAAAAAAAACCAAAATATAATTTTTTTCTCAAACGAGCAATACAATGCATGATCAGCAATGATATTACATTTATTTGTATGCGATATCGAAATTAATTCGGTCTATAAAATATGATTCTTATCGTGTAAATTGATAGTTTTCGACTTATTTTCATGAAACGATCATAAATATATTCTGCAGTATATTATTATATTTGATTTACCCATTAAAAAAAACTTTGAAAAATATATAAGCAATATTATACACAGGTAATATTTATCGATTTCCGATGAACAAAAAATGTATAACTACAAGTTATTAAAAATTGACTTATGTGACTTTGTCTTTTGTTGACTGAAGCTTTCAGAATAGAAGAACTTAAATTTTTTTGTAAGAGTGTATAAGAATATTTAAATTCATACGACTTACTAGATTAATAATATTTATCTTGTATGGACGTGAATGCACATCAAATCACATTTTTCAAAATTTAATAGTTGCATTAATCTTAATTTTATAAAGAAAACTCTAATGATTGATCATATCAATTCTGAGCATGGTATGTCGATCAAATTAAAATTTTACAATTTAATAATATTACAGGTATTTTTTTAAGTTTTTTCCCTACAATAATATTTGTTTAAGTCAGATTTTTATTCATATTTCAAAGTAATAATCATTTCAAATATTAAAAATAACTAATGGATTTTAGATTCCGAGTTGAGCGATGAATGTATTGTTTTTTTTTTTTTTTTAACACACTAAAAATGCTTAGATTTTCTTCAGCATCTTTTCTGATAGGAAAGTGAATGTAGTTGGTACTTTTGGGTGGTCAAAAACAAAACTGTCTCCGCTCAGAATCGTTTTTTGTATAGCCGTATARGTRCAATGATATSATATCATTGAATTCTAGTTAAATTGACTTTGAATCATATTGAATTATAAATTATTATTTATAGAATTTTAGAACTGGAAAATGATGCACGAATTGGAAGAAAAATATAAATATGTAAATTAATAATAGGTATAACATCGCAGACTCTTTTCAGTTACTAATTGGTGGGTGCGCAAACACATGCGCACCACGAGTGGTGCATTCCTGTATTTAAACGCTCCTGATAGATCACGCCTGACCGTATTAAAAATATTAAATGGTGGCTAGTATGTGGTATCTTCACAATATTATATATACAAGTACTAGGGTTTTATAAGTGGTGGTGATTTAAAGTTCAGCTCGAGGCTGTAAATGATGATAATAATACAACATTATGATTATATAGTATAAAACATAATATGATGATTTATAATAAATTGTAAATATAATATAAGGTTATATATATTATACAATATAATTGTTAATATTTTTAACAGAGAGCGTTTCTTTCACAAGTGCAGCAGACAGCTAACTATACGGTGTCAAAGGTGTACAGTAACTATATCATGTAGGTAGTAAAAAAGTTGAAGCCAAGTTAGAAAATTTCTATATATATTTAATATATCAACTATATGTATATGTTTAATTAAAATAGTTATACCTGATAGATGTAATGACTGTAACACAGTTAAAGAATCCATTGGGTCTAACGATTTATTGGTATTTACTAGTTAATTTAAAAAATAAAGCGTAAAGTTAAAATCATTTTCACGAATATGACATATCCATAACTTTAGATTCATTAGTTATTTTATCGCTCCGTTCATAATGTATTTGTTTTACAATGATGTGTGTTTTTTGTGAAAAAAAATTAGATTTCAATATCAATTTCTTTTATAGTAAGAAGTGGGTGAAATATAATTCAGGTATCTAATCAAAAATAATCAACAATTATCAGTAAGTAATTTTTATAACATTGGAAAATAAAAATATCCGTTTTTCGTGTGTAAAGATTTATCATTGAATTCAAATTTAACAGATTCAATATCACATTGTCTCTTACTCAAGGGCTTTCCACCTTTTTTTGTTCGATTAGTGTAGCAATAATTAAGAATACAGTAAATTAAATAAGTATTCTTGATTTAATAATTTAGATAGCCCTCTAGATATGTGATATACTAAATGAAAAATAAACATATGTACCAATTATATTTAATACGATAATCAAAATCAAGAACATAATGAATACAAAGTGAAAGAGTATAACATGTTTCTAAGATCTAGCACTTATTTTTCAGCTAGTGTAATTTCATTGGATTACTTTGAATTAACTACTTGTCGAATATTTTCAAGGTCTAAGGTTATAGTTTCTTTCCAGTATGAGTACACTAGTGTGCTGTAAGTTGGCCACTTTGATTGAAAGATTTGTCACATATATCGCATAAGTAAGGCTTCCCTCCAGTGTGTGTCCTCTGGTGTGCATTCAAACTACTTACTTGATTGAACGACTTGCCACATGTATCGCATGGGTAAGGCTTTTCTCCAGTGTGTATCCGCCGGTGCTTCGTTAAACTATCACTTGTACTAAATGACTTGTCGCATGTATCGCATGGGTAAGGCTTCTCTCCAGTGTGTATCCGCCGGTGCTTCGTTAAACTATCACTTGTACTAAATGACTTGTCACATGTATCGCATAGGTAAGGCTTCTCTCCAGTGTGTTTCCTCTGGTGTACGGTCAAATTACTTACTTGATTGAACGACTTGCCACATGTATCGCAAAGGAAATGTTTCTCTCCCGCGTATATCCTCTGGTGTGGTATTAAATGGCCACTTTTATTGAACGACTTGTCGTACGCATCACATGGATACTGTCTCTTTCTCACGTACGTTCTCTGACTACACGTGATATCGTTCATTTAATTGTTTTTCCCCTATTTGGAAATTTTACAGTTAAAAAATTACGTTCACTGATTAAATTTAAATTTATTAATGATTATTTTTATTGATTAATGTAAATAACTGACTACAAAACATATAATATGTTTTATTGTAAAATGTATGGTTACAAAACTTTTTTGTTTTTGGTCCATTATAAATTATCGTTATCGACAATTTTTCGAGCCAGAACTTCTTCGCTATCTAATGTTAGTGTATGATACTTCCATATATTGGTGTAGTCATGAACGATTCACAACGAACACAGAGTGTGTTATATAAATTAACGTTATTTAAATAGTACATAATTCTAATCAAAAAATGTTATCACACGATTATACACAATAAAATTTTACATACTGTAAAACGAATTTCAATTTCGTTTCAACGTTTTTTTACACAAAGCTATTTAAAATATCCCGAAAACAAAAACTGTTCACATAAAAATATAGAAACTCCAATTATGTGTTCATGGATATTTCGGTTAAATAAAAAATCTAATCGAATAAAATATTTTTAAAATAATCTTAAATGTGTCAAAACTATGGAATTTTAAATTATATTTTGTACAGTAGCACCGCCGTTGTATTCCTACAACCCCCTGTTTGCATTTTTAATAATATTTTTAGTTATTCTTTACAAAATCCAAACGTTACACCTTACACAATCGCTATACGTGACTCAGTTGGTCACATTAATTAATTTCATTTTGACTAAATGAAATTTATATTTTTCTCCATAAAAACATTAAACTTATATAACTAAATATATGATATAGTTTTTTAATTGATAATTTTCAGTGTAGTAACTTAAAACTTGATATTCATTAAGTCAAAACTTTAATGTCTTAACTTAATTTTATCATTATTCATTAACTTGCCTATATTTTAAACTATATGATTAAAAATTCAGTTTAGTTAAACTATATAAGTAGGTACTCATATCTCTAAAATAATATTTATCACAATAGGCTATCAATACTTGATAGTTACTAATTGTTAAATKTATTGTATTTACAATTTTTTAATATATTTAATGTGAAAGAATTATTGGATATTCGTCGGTTATATGACTGGATATAGCAAAAGTAGTGAATAACTCCGATAATTAACTGTTAAATACTCGTATATTTCGAAATAAAGTGAGTGTTAAAAGACATTGACGTTTGGTTAAACAGCAGCTGTGATTATCTAAAAAAATAAAATAAAATTTCTGTTGTAGGTATAATGTGGTGGTTTAATAGGTTGTATGTACACTGTAACCAAAAGTGGTATATCAGTGCCCTGAAGGCTGAAATGCATAACAATTTTTTGTATTTGTGAAATTCATAAAATTATACCTATTATTATAAATCATTGAAGTAATTAAATTTACAACATTACCAGCTAAATACTGAATTTTTTATGACTATAAAAGTATTTTGATTAATAACACGTATAGTTGTTTCAACATCAATCTCTGAAATGTTGTCAATTTATAACACTATTATTTATTGTTATTTTCAATAATATTATTGTATATAGGTATTAGGTATCATAACAAATTATATAATTATATAATATGATAATTATAACATAACAAATCAACCTCTAATGGATGTATTTAATGTGAAGGAGTAAGACGGGCACGTCACGTCTATTTCCAATCAAATAGCAATGATTGTAAGATCCCAAATGGTATGAGATATGTGCATATTTCAGCATCCACTGAGAAAGGCTATTCCTGCCACCAGGGGTCATATCAAAGTTTTGAATATTTTTAACAAATAAACGATGCTCTAGAGAGCTGCGTCATGTGAAAATAGTATGGCCTCCATGGTTTCATCTGGTGATGCACCAAAACCAAGGTAGGATTAGGGATCAGCCAAAATATTCAGTAAGAAATGTCAATGGAAAATAAATCCAGAAAAAGTAAGAAATATTATAAAATAAAAGTAGTATTATATTATAATCAATGCTACTATATTGTCACATTAAATATTCGAAAATTTAAATAATTAAAAATATATGTATTAAATAAAAAAAATTATACACGGATATAACATCAGCAACGGTTCAGAAAAAAATTTTAACTAACTATAAAATTTAAAAATAGTTATAAACAAAAACATTTTTGTAAATAATATACAAGTTAAAAATAACTTAATTGAGAATATTAAATAAATTATAAGTTTATTTTAAATAAGTTGAAAGATAATTTCTAAGACCTAAGAGATTAAAATTAAGATTATAAACACAACATTACATCAAACTAATATGTTAAGTTGTGTATACACGATTCATCAAAAAAATGAATTTAAAAAATACATAATTACAAATGAAAAAAAATATGAATAGAATTCGGTGAATAGAAGGTAGTGACTGATTAATCATTCAACCAACAACCTAAGTGTAGGTATCTATTTAAACTATAATCTAAACCGAAATGGCGAGGCGGAAATGCTGGCGGTGACAATRACTGTGAATTTTGCACATGGTAAAATAAATCTGTTTGTTATTGTAAAATAAGTTTAGACCGTAAAACGCATCAGTATAGACTATACTATAGTCACTATAGGCTTGCAGTCTTTAAATATTATTACGTATTGTGTGTTATGAGTTCATTGTGCCATAAGAGCTTGCCATTCTTAGGTTATTATTTCTTGGACTTCTTTGGCGCATTCTTCCATCACCACATTTTTATCTATAGTTCTACACTATAAGAATCTTGTTGCACTTGGTACGCATATGGTACTCTCTTTTTCACTACAAGGATTTCCTCCCAGTATGTCTCATTTCGACTAAAAATGCAAGTGCAAGCTCTTCCAGTGTTTCCTATGTAGAATGTACGTTTTTGTCATGCTTTTCACTGTTGTTTCCAGCATATTTGAATTGAATTGTGACATAGAATCTGTGGAATTGGCCTATACTCAAAGCCATCCTGGTCCTACCTAGGTATACCAAATGCATGCATTGATAGCTGTGTGCCGATATGACAGCTCGTGATGCAGTCAGTTTTTATAAATATTTATATGATTTTTTTTCGGTTTCAGAGTACCTCTGAACACATCGGTAATCGGAAGTTTCCAACTATCATTAAACGGCGGAAACGCGTGAAGAGGGCCGGTGCATTAGTAAAAGGTCTATTTGGAAAATGTATTTATCGGTTACCGGCAACACATGGCAACAGCGATAAATAAGATAAATAAATGGAAGAAAAATCAAAATTATTGTTTACGGTCTTTAGTATAATACAGATATTATTAAATTATACAACCGGTAACCTACTATACTGCAGGAAGCTAATAAAAATGTGTGTGTACACAAGCAGCTACAGGATATATAACAAGAATTCGAAGAAAACAAAAGCGTAAGTATTGATTTCCATGACCGAAGGCCTTTAGGACGTCTCGTTTCGAATTCTCGAGTTGGTATAATAATTTGTGCGGGGTCATTCATAGACCGCGTTCATTGGTGAACTTCAACTGGTGCACGCACGCAACGTCTATCCAAAACTAACTGAAAGACATACCTTACCTACTATTATTATTATTTATTACCTTACTTGTTATGATATTATACAGAAAGGCAGACGCGACTCGGATTTACATTATACTTTCACACACGGTCACCTGGTCACCGGTGTGATATGCTCAAGACGCGTTATTTTACGCACTCGCACAACCATTACAACCGTTTTGTTGGTCCCCAATATACCATGTAGTAATACGTTTATATTGTTATAGTAATTGTCCAAGTACACGTGCACGATATAATTATACATATACGTCGCCTCTCGTCAATGACCTGCAAAGGTTGTGTTGAGATTTAAATACGCTTTATTGTTTTGACCACGTTTAAAACTTAGTCATTTATTAGAAACATAATATATTGATTAAACTATTTTTTTGTTTGTACAATCATTACAATATCGTTCTAACGGTCCGCTGAAACTATGCAGTTACAGTATACATTTATATAACTCTAATATTGTTTGCGTAAACGTGTACGATATAATATATATTATATATATTATACTAATTTTCAAATTTTAAGTGCTATTCATTAACTTAAGCTTTCTGGCTTCTTAAGTTCGTTTTAAAACGATAAAAGTAATCTATTTATTATTTAATGTTTTCACCTCCGAGTCCAACTGATAATAATATATTATGAATATACTGTTTAATATTATTGCACTGCTGAAACAAGTAAACAACACCCGTCACAGTAAAAAAACAATAAACACGCGCGGCAGTATATAAGTAATTAATATATTATATAATATGTACCTATATATTGTCATTGTGTATAGTGTATCAAAATATATTATTATGATCGAGGTGTATTTTGAAACAGTTGATTATTAAAGACTCAAACCACATTTAATATAAATAATCAATCATATAATGCTATTTAATATTGAATTAAGTCCCACAAATACTTTTTGGTTTTCGAAATTAAATCTAAATGTCCGACAAATATTTTTTCGTGGTTCAAGTTGAGTAAAGAATTTAGTTTTATCCAATACGAGTCATCACGTGGAGGTTGACTGAGTAGTCTGCCAAAAACGTGTGTTTTTGTTTACACTAATTATGAACGGTAGAAAAAAGCTGATCAATTTTATATTAATATTATTATTTATTATTTTTTTTCTTCAAGTTCAGATTTAGCAGAAATTAGATAATCAAACTAAAAAAAAAAAGTTTTAGTTATTACTTTGTAATTTTATAATATTATTCTTCGATACTTGTAACTTTTAACGTTCATTTTTATACTTTATAGGCACAATGACATATTTTTCAAATGCAAGGTTTTCGGCAAAAATTAATTGAAGCCAACAGTGAAGTAAAAAAATTCCATAGCAATATAAATATTTCATAAAATTGACTACGTAGCTGTTCGTTTACAATATAGAAATAGGATGATTTATATAAAAACTTAAACTCATAAATTACAGTGTGTTATTCGACTACGGAATTTTTTTAAGTGACAATCTGAAAATA